CCTCCTCCTCCTCCTCCTCCTCCTCCTCCTCCTCCTCCTCCTCCTCCTCCTCCTCCTCCTCCTCCTTCACAATTACTCAATCTGAATACTACTCTCCCTCTTCCCCTGATGACGGCCTGGAGTGTCCGACCCCCCCCCGCGTAGTGTTTTTTACACACAGGTTTCCACGGAGTTGGGTTTTCGCTTGCATTTGTTTTCAAAATGCTGGTCTCGCTGAGGCGCCGGCCTCATTTTCGGGCCCCGCTCGTTCCGAATCGTGCTCCCGCTGCAGCGCTGGCCTCATTTCCGTGCTTCCGCTCGTTCCGAATCGTGATCCCGCTGCAGCGATGGCCTCATTTCCGCGCTTCCGCTCGTTTCGACTCGTGCTCCCGCTGCAGCGCTGGCGTCATTTCCCGTGCCATGCCACGGCATGCAATGCAATGCTAGGTTGATACTGCGCTTTGCGGTGCTCTTCTACGCCATGCCATGCCGTGCTCTACAATGCATCGCGTACCCTTTCGGGATCATTGCCCTGCTCGACATCCGACTGTGCGAGTAGAGAGGGGATCTGCGCCATGGTAAGGGATGGGAGGGAGGGGTAGGATGTCAGATATGACGCGAGCGCACCTAGCTTGTCCTCCCCCCCTCCCACTCCCTCACCCAGGGCTCCTTTCAACACCCACGACTCGACTCGGATTCCGCTTCCGATTCCGATCGCCTGGACTCCAGATCCGATTCCCTCGCCCAGGGCTCCTTCCGATTCTTGTTCCGATTCCGAATCGTTCCGATTCCGATCCGATTCGACTTCGGATTCCGATTTGGATTTCGGCTTCTACAGGCTTTGCTAGCCGATGCCCGCCGAGCCGCTTCATGTAGATCGGCGATCCGACGAATCGTTTCGACAGTCTGTGCTCTCCTGTGCTCACCGGGCCTCGGCACTTCGTCGTGAAACAATCACAGCGGGCGGGTTTTGGCCGTTTTGGGATTTTGGGGCCATTGCCGGGCCTCGGGATATCGTCGCGGTAAATAGTTGATGATTCTGGCCGTTTTCGACCTCCGAGGGCCTCCAGCGGGTCTCGGGATCCGTGGTGGAAAAATCACGGCGGGAGGTTTTTGGTTGTGTTCAGCCTCTGGGGGCCCTCGCCGGGCATCGGGACCCGTGGTGAAAAAATCAGGACGGGATGTCTTTTAGATGTTTTCGGCCTCGGGGGGGTTCGCCGGTCTCTGGGGACGCACAAAGTCGACTCGAAGTCGACTCGGGACGAAAGGCCAGCCCTGGGGAAGGGGTCAGGACTTCCGGGGACCCCGTATTGAAAAAGTCACGACGTCGGATGTCTCGGCGATGACCACGGCCAAGCCATCGTGGGGTCTTGTCGACGCCGATCTTGGTCATGGTCCGTGCTGGCCGTCGCCAGTTCGCGAGGATAATCCACGGGTTGACGATGACCAAGATGAGAGATGACCAAGATCGACACCGACGTTTCCGCTTTCAGTCTTGGTTTAGGATGTTCCAGCCTACTTTATCTAGCCTTGATCACCAGAAGGAATTTCGAGCACCAGGGAAGTATCGGAATTGGACATGTTTCACGTGTCGAGTCCTGGGGGACGATATTCAGTCGGCACTTCGCCAGCGTGTCGGGCAGACACTGTTTCGATACTCTTCGGGGTGCTCTAAATTAATTCTGGAATGTGGTCCTTAAGTACGATGGGAACAACGGAAGTCTTGGTCCTGGTCCTCGTTTTCCTTCCCTCCAGGCTCGCTGGCCGAGCGGGCGGCCACGCCGGAGGAGGCAGCCTGGGGCGGGGCACCAGAGCCCAAGGCCGTCGAGCAGGGGGGCCTTGGCGTCGCGTCGCGGGAAGATCACGGATGGATTTGTTGCTTTTTTGGTTTTGCTTTCTGTGTGTCTTTTCCACCTGATCTTGTTGGGGACATCGGCCGCCCCCCCTCCGCAATGGGAAAGGCGGGGCGCGACCTCTCTGAGCACACAAAAATGACAAGGTGCCGATGCCGCTGCCCTCCGTTGTCGCCACAGCCGGCTCCGCTCCGAGACCCCGGTGCGAGCGCGCCCCTGGAGATGGACGCAACCCCGACCCCCTCGCGCCGTGCACCACACCATGGCGGAAGGTTCCTCACAGATGTCCGGCCTGGGCCCCGGGACCGTCGAGCGAGGGCTCGGCACGAATCGTCGCTCCACGAGAAGCTGCCCATACATCTGGGGCGCCACGCCGGGGCCAAGAGCACGCACGCCGTCTGCACCTCCGCGCACCCGCACCGGTTCCGGCCGGCGCGCTCCTGGGCCCAGCACCGGTGCAGACTGCAGGCGGTGCTCGATGCGGTGCACCTCTCGTGGGACCCAGCCACGCAGCATTCGCGCCGAAGACCGCCACAAGACGGCGCAGGGCAGGCCAGGGCCAGCAACGCGTAGGAGAGGCGTCCTTGCCAGGCCAGGTGGGGGCCCCGGGGGGCGTACGCAAAGATTGAATTACGCACCGAACCTGGGCCCAGCACGGGCCAGGCCAGGGGACGGAGTCCTCGTCTCGGCGGAGGTCAAGTCCATACGGAGTGTAAGTCCATACGGCGTCTTCATCCTCTCCCGCGCCGTAGCCCTTGCCCTCCACGTCGTCGTCACCGTGCGCCGCCTCGTCGCCCTCGCCTGTCCTCGCCCGCCACAGGGCAAGGTCCAGGGGCCTTGACATCCTCCGATGTGTTTCCTGGCGGAGCCGGGTGGAATGCTGTGTCCTCCGCTGACTGGCCGACTGACCTGAACTGCGCGGAACTGCTTTGAACTGACCGAGCTGGAGGGGTATTTTTGACAACACATTTCAACCCGCCCGGGCGCACCCGCAACCGCAACCGCAACCGTTTCAGCCAGCCCGCGGGCGCAACCGCAACCGCAACCAGGCGACACATTTTAACCCGACCGCGGACGCAACCGCAACAGCAATCAGGCGACACGTTTCTACCCGCCCGTGGGCGCAACCGCAACCGCAACCGCAACTGCAACCAGTCGACACGTTTCAACCCGCCCGCGGGCGCAACCGGTACCGCAACCAGGCGACACATTTCAACCAGCCCGCGGGCGCAACCGCAACCGCAATCAAGCCACACAACCACAATCAGGCGACACGTTTCTACCCGGTCGCGGTCGCAACCGCAACCGCAACCGCAACCGCAACCAGGCGACACATTTCAACCAGCCCGCGGGCGCAACCGTAACCGCAACATTTCAACCCGCTCACGGGCGCAACCGTAACCGCAACGAGGCGACACGTTTCAACCCGCCCGCGGGCGCAACCGCAACCGCAACCGCAGTAGCAACCGCAACCAGGCGACACATTTCAGCCCGCCCGCGGGCGCAACCGCCCGAGGAGCAGGAGGTGCAGGAGCACGAGGACGAGGAGGTGCAGGGAGTGGAAGAGGAGGAAGAGAGGGAGCAGGAAGAGGAGGATGGGCAGGACGGCCAGGAGGAGGTGGAGGAGGAGGACGACAAATGAGGGGGATGCGGGCGTGGTCGTGTTTCCAGGGGTTGCACGAGCAGGTGCCGGTGGAGGAGGAAGCCCCAAGGCACGGCAGGAAGATGGAGGGCTTGGAGGATGAGACGGAGGAGGAGGAGGAGAAGGCAGATGAGGAGGAGAAGGCCGATGAGGAGGTGGAGGAGGAGGGGGAGGAGGACGCGTTGCCCGCGGCTCTCCGCCGGGGCATCGCAGCGTGGGGTCCCCGCTTCACGCGGCTGCCTCGGACTTCCTGCTGGGCCGCGGCACCAGGCCCGGACGTGCTCGCGTCGTGGCAGGGTCTGGACGGAGGCCTTTCCGCGTTCTTGGCCCGTGGTGGCCCTCGTCGGGCCCCGGGGCCGGGCAAAAAGCAGGTCTCGGGGGCAACGATAATGGGGGGGATAGGCATTAGGGGGGGAGGCATCGGCCCCCAATCGCCCATGGATCGCCGAGAGGGGCTCGCTCGCCCCAACCCGCCCAGGAAAGTGCGGATTCCCGATCGGGAGCAGGTTGCCGATCTGTCAGCGATGTGTCGCCGATTCCAGGTCGATGCATCCCCCCTGTGCCAGTCCCCCCCCCTATGGTCCCGGGGCGATGGTCGGGGCGTCCGGGACACACGCCTGGAAAAGATCAGGACATCACAGGTCCAGGGATGTCCCGCCCCCTCCCTGGTGCCAGGCTTCCGCCCCGAGCCAACTGTTCGCTGCCCTGGGGCCTCAAGGACTGAAATCGAGGAGAAAAAAACACGCGGGCTGAACAACGGAGATCTGCCGTAACCCGCGCCGTCCGCGTCGTCGACATCGCATTCGCCCTCCCACATCTTCGCCCGTCACGGCGAGGCCGGGGGGAAGAAGGACGAGGAGGACCAGGAAGTCCGACGTCGTGATTTTTTTCGCAATGTCGACCCCCAGAGGTGTGGACCCCTTCCCCGAGACCCTTTTTTCATTCCCGCTGGGCAGTTGTCTGACGGTCCCGAGGCCTGGCGGGACCCCTGGAAGGCCGAAGTCAGCCAGCAAAAAGGAACCGGCAGCGGCCGTTCGGCGGCCGTTCGGGACGATCTGGGCACCCCCCCTGGAACGCCCTCGGCGCGGCGCAGCTGCCGGAGAGGACCCCCGAGGCTGGAAGCCCGCCGCGAAGCAACGAGAGCGCCCGCAGACCCCACGAGGCCACAGCCGCAGGCCGCAGCTGCGAGCTCCACTCGCCGCTCGACAGCGCGCTGCTGCTGCTGCGGCGCCGCCGCGCCGCCGCCGCGCTGCAGGCCCCGGGCTGCAGCGTCGGCGCCGCGTGGCCTGGACCGGGAGAGGCCCGCGGGGCCCGAGGCCCAAAGGCGCCCGTGCAGTGGAGACCCATGCCAAGGAACACCCTGCTCGCCTCCAGGGTGCCCTGGGTTTCCTGGGGTCTCGGGGTTGGGTTTCTCGCGGAAGGCTTCTCGTGGACTGGCCTCCACTGTACCGCTATACCTTTCCTTCGGTTTCCCCTTTTCGGGGCCTTCTGGGAGGCCCTCGTCGCCACCGGTGGATTCGCCTCGCAATTCTGGTCAGAGCGCACGCCGGGTGGTTTCGCCAGAGGCGCTCCAGGAAGGCCTCGTCGTCAAGGGATCGAGAAGTTGATATCTCATCCTCGGCGGAAGGCGTCGCAAGCGAAGCGAGGTCGTCTCCGCTGGCGGAAGGCCTGCGGGAGCTGGCGGAAGCAAAAAGCAGCCCTCCAAGAAGTGTTAAGGTTTTTGGCCTCAGGGTTCCCGCAGCCTCCCGCCCAGACACCTTCGGAGGATCGGAGGTTCGAGGATCTCCTACAGTCGAGGCCCTGAAGAAGGAACCCTTTTCGTTGGGGAGGGGCTCCGCGTTCCTTACGTGTTTCACAGCTTGCCTCAGGCTTTCCTTATTTTTTCGGCAGGAAATCGAAGGTTAACTTATCGAGAAAAGGGGCCTCGTTCCTTATTTAGGGTTCCTTAGGTCAACGCCCCGACGGTATGCTTTCGTGGGCCCTCGGCGGTTTTCCAGCCTCGGGGTGCGCTCTGGGAGCTGCGCCTCGCCGAGGGCCCTCCGGAGGTGCTCAGGTCGTCCCGAACGGCCGCCGGAGACGCGAGCTCTGATCCGAAAGCGAGATCTCCTCAGATAGCGAAACAATCACGACATATTGTTTCTCGGGCCGGACGAAAGGGTGGGATTGGGAGAGGGGGGGGGTACGAAATTTGCTGCATGCAGCTGGTTTCGGCCTCACCGAGGGGACCATTCCTCGATACATACCCGCCTCCAGCGCCGGGAGGCGCTGGAAAAATCAGCTACGTGAGCTGATTCTCAAACCCCCCCTTTGCTATCCCCCCCTTTCACCCGACCCGAGTTTCTGAGCCATCCTGCGTTTAGCTGGGTCCTCGTTTTGAGTGAGCAGCGCCCCGCGTCCCCCCCTCTCCTCTCCTCCCCCCCCCTCCTCCCTCCTCCCATCCCTGCCTTTGCCCGCTGCGTGCGAATTTCGGCGCACCCATCGCAAGTTTCGTGGCCCCATGGGGTGCTCCACCGACGGCCCAAAGGGCAGCGCCCGCATGGCGGCACCGCATCCGTGCCGACGCACCCTTCCCCCTCCTGCTCGTCATCCTCCTCTTGCTCCTTCTCCTCCTCCTCATTCTCTTCCTCAGCCTCCTCCATCTCCTTCTCCCCATCACTCCCTCACGCGTTTCGTGACCCGACAGGGAGCTCCAGCGAAGGCCCACATGGCAGCCACAGCCTGGCGGCACAGCGCCAATTGTTTTGGCACGCGCACGCGCACACACGCACCTCGCGCGCTTCGCGGCCCAATAGGGAGCTTCACCGAAGGCCCAGATGGCAGCGCCCGCATGGCGGTACCGCACCCATTTCGGCACACCCCTCACACGCTCCGTGGTCCCATAGGGAGCTCCAGCGAAGGCCCAAATTGCAGCGCCCGCATGTCACCGCCGTGCTCATTTTGGCACACCCTCACTCGCTCCGTGGCCCCACAGGGAGCTCCACCGAAGACGAGACTCACAACCGCGGCACACACAACTGCATCTGGTTGATGGTCGTCGGCCCCTCGGGTCCCTCACTGGGCCTCGGGGCTGCCAAGAGACGTCTCGACATGAAAAGCCAGTCCCCGGGTTATGATGTTCCAACCTACTTTAGCCTTGATCACCAGAACAAAATTCGAGAGCCAGAGAAGTACCCCAAAACTCTAGGGTTTTCACGTGTCGGGCCCTGGGAGACACTGTTTCGACACTGTTTCGGCACTAATTCGACACTCTTCCGACACTTTTCCAAGTGCTCGAATTTATTTCTGGGATGTGGTCCTTAAGTACGATGGGAGCAACATAATCCCCGAGAAGAGGTCCAGACCTTTGCAGAGCCCTCATGCTTCGGAGGAGGGCCAGTTGAGACGACGGCGACTATCTCACGCCCGGCCCACATCCGCTCAACATCGGTCCTTGGACCCCTCCCGGGGTCCATCCTAGTAGCCCGTGGTTCGACACGGACCGATCCGTGGCGAGGAGAAAGAAATTTCCAGGAGCTCCAAAACGACCGAGAGTCGCGAGGGAGGACCGCCGTTGTCTGGACCGGTCATCCCCTGATTCCGTATCCGCCGTATTTTCGGCGATGTCGCAAGAAGGGCGAACATGTGCGCCCTATTTTTCGAGCTCCTTTGATGTCGATTTCCCAAATGTTCCGCCATACTTTACCGTCGCTGTTTCCACCACACATCTGCGGATATATCCGCCGTGTTTGTCTGGGGCGGAAATTTCCGCTCCACGTTTCCGCATCGTTTGGCGTGCGCCGCACGGTGAGGGTGTTGGATAAATGATCCTTCTGTAATGAAACCAGTGTCTGGGAGCCTGTCGAACACCAGCTGAACCTTGGCCATGTACATCACCGCTACCCTCATCAGATCAGGAATCCAGGGTCTGAAGCCTCCTGGGCATCTCCTAGGCACACCCCTCAACGAACGCTCCCGCCATACTTACTTTAGTTGATTATCTGACTTACAGAAACGGTCAGATATTAATCCAGAGTCAGAGTTCTCCGCGTTACGAAGCTCGGCATCACCCGAGCGCGCTTCTACTATGTGTGCGTCGGCGTCCCAGGGGCGCTGCGCGCGCCGAGAAATTCTCTAGCGCATGCTCGGTGGCATGCGCGTCCTGGCCACACCGTGTGGGCAGCGATACGTTATAACATGTTTTGTACTCTGTGTTCGCTTCGGCCGTGCGCCGCCCAAGGGCGGGCGCGTAGTATCAGTACGGCAGGTTGGCGCAGTGTCTACTGGCGGCGGCCCCGCCGCCGGTGTTCAGCGTTGTGTTCGGAAACGGCCGATCGTTCAAGGCTGAACGATCCTTGCGCGGTGTCAGGAGCCAACGCCCAAGTCGGCACGATAAGAGCCTGCTGCGCATTCCTCTCAGGGGCAACGATTGTGGGGGATAGGCCTAAGGGGGACGTATCGACCCCCGATCGCCCATGGATCGCCGATAGGGGCCTGATAGCCCCAACCTGCCCAGGATCGCGCGGATTCACTCTTGGGGGCCTATCGCCGATCAATCGGCGATGTACGGTAGGTTCATGCGGCGATGGCGCGCCATCGACGCCGGCGAAGGCGTTCAAGGCTGAATTCTGCGACGCGGATGCACCAAGGGACATGGTGACGCCACTGGACCCGTCGGAACTCAACCCTGAACGATCGGGGCCGCGACCGATTCAAAAACGTTTGCGCGTGCCGACGCCGCTTGAACCCACGGTATGCCAGTCCTCCCTAATCGTGGTGCCCCCCGGCAGCATCTGCTTTCGCAGCGCCTTCGAAGTGCCACTCGGGGCGTTCAATTCCAATTGGCGGACATCCGCGGATGCCAGCTGGCGAAAAAAATCTTTCGAGTGACGTCCCGCCGATCGTTGATGCGGCGCGATAGCACTGGCCTGTGTGGGGTTGCGCTGGACCCCCACGGGCGCCCCTGAAGCCACGCACCAAAGGCCATATGCACGAGTATCGGGGAGCAGACAAAGACAGACACGTGTAGAAACTCGTAGGTCCGCGCGGATTTCTCGGATCTGTTCTGGACCCCCCTCCTTGGCGCGCGAAGCGTGCCAGGGGCGGCGCCGAAGGCACCGCCAGAACGGCCCAGCGCCGATCCGAGGAATCCGCGCGGACCTCCAAGTTTTATGTTCATGCCATTGTTCGCTCCCCGAGTGTAATCTTAAGTCGGTCACGGACCTCTACTCAGGGAATTGATTCAGTAATGGTTTTAAGAACTAGTCTGGTGACGATGGTTCGTGCTCTTTTGACTCTGCTTGCTTATTGCGAAGGCCTTACGGCCGATGCCGCCGACCCTGGAGACGACCCTGTCGTCTGGGCGCGCCAGCCCTCGCGGATCGGACGGTGGCTGCGAGGCGCTGTCGGACGTCGGAGGCGTTGAAAGCGCGCTTGCCGCGCTCGGGAAAGTGTCCCTCCTCCGTTCTGTGATGGGGAGGAGGAGGAACAGGCGGGGAAGGAGGACAAGGTCGAAGAGGAGGGAATACCCGGTTGTTGTGTAACTTCCTAGTCTGGTTTGTAGCTTCCTAGGAGAGTTTTTGGGGCCTCTCGGGAGCCTCTTGGGGCCTCTGTGGGCTTCCTGGAGGGCCTCTTGGGAGCTTCTCGGGGCTGAGGGCTCGAAATGTCCGTTCGGGTCCCCTGTCTGGGCGCTCTCTTGGAACCGTTTTGGGGGCCTTTGTTGGGGCTTTCGTGGGAACGGTCCTGGAGGCCTCTTGGGGCGTCTCGCAGGCCTATTGGGCCGTCTGGAGGCCGTCGAGGCGTCTTGGACAGATCATTCGGCGATTCGGCGCCCTCTTGGATCGTCTTGGTGGCCTCTCTGGGCACTCTTGGCCCGTCTTGGGACTTTTTTGGGCTCCGGGATTCCCAGGGGGGGCGGCGCAAAAACCCGGGACCCCCCCGGGGGCCCACCCCGGGGGGCGGCGCAAAAACCCGGGACCCCCCCTGGGACCCCCCCCGGGACCCCCCCCCCCAGGCGGGGAAGGGATCAAAGGGAAGGGGCTTCCCTTCGACTCAATTACGACGTTGCTCATTTTCGCCGAGGAGGGAACAGACGGAGAAGCCTCTTCCACACGCCGACAGGGTCGGCGGATTTTTCATTTGTTTGGTTTATTCCCAACCCTCCTGCGTTGGGTACTCGTTTTGAATAGCACTGTGGTCTCCACCTTCCTCCTCCTCCTCCCGCCTCCTCTCTCCCCTCTTCGTCTCGCTTGCCTTTTGCCTACCTAGCTTGCCGCTCGCCATCCCTGGGGGGCGGCGATCTGTGAAACTGTCGCCAGTTTCGAGGGTTGCTGGGGTGGCCAGCGGAGTGGCGCCCCACGGGGACTCAGATTAGACCCCGCCGTCTCTGGGGGGCTGCGATCTGTGAAATTGTCGCCAGTTTCGAGGGTTGCTGGGGTGGCCAGCGGAGTGGCGCCCCACGGGGACTCAGATTAGACCTCGCCATCCGTGGGGGGCTGCGATCTGTGAAATTGTCGCCACTTTCGAGGGCTGCTGGGGTGGCCAGCGGAGCAACGCCCTACGGGGACTCAGATTAGACCCCGCCATCCCTGGGGGGCTGCGATCTGCGAAATGGTCGCTAGTTTCGAGGGCGGCAGGGGTGGCCAGCGGAGTGACGCCCCACGGGGACTTAGATTAGACCTCGCCATCCGTGGGGGGCTGCGATCTGCGAAACGATCGCCGCTTTCGAGGGCTGCTGGGGTGGCCAGCGGAGTGACGCCCTACGGGGATACAGATTAGACGTCGCCATCCCTGGGGGGCTGCGATCTGTGAAATTGTCGCCACTTTCGAGGGCTGCTGGGGTGGCCAGCGGAGTGACGCCCTACGGGGACTCAGATTAGACCTCGCCATCCCTGGGGGGCTGCGATCTGTGAAACTGTCGCCACTTTCGAAGGCTGCTGGGGTGGCCAGCGGAGTGACGCCCCACGGGGACTTAGATTAGACCTCGCCATCCCTGGGGGGCTGCGATCTGCGAAACTGTCGCCACTTTCGAGGGCTGCTGGGGTGGCCAGCGGAGTGACGCCCTACGGGGACTCAGATTAGACCTCGCCATCCCTGGGGGGCTGCGATCTGCGAAACTATCGCCACTTTCGAGGCCTGCTGGGGGGCCCAGCGGAGTGACGCCCTACGGGGATTCAGATTAGACCTCGCCATCCCTGGGGGGCTGCGATCTGTGAAACTGTCGCCACTTTCGAGGCTGCTGGGGGGCCCAGCGGAGTGACGCCCTACGGGGATTCAGATTAGACCTCGCCATCCCTGGGGGGCTGCGATCTGTGAAACTGTCGCCACTTTCGAGGGCTGCTGGGGGGCCCAGCGGAGTGACGCCCTACGGGGATCAGATTAGACCTCGCCATCCCTGGGGGGCTGCGATCTGTGAAACTGTCGCCACTTTCGAGGGCTGCTGGGGGGCCCAGCGGAGTGACGCCCTACGGGATTCAGATTAGACCTCGCCATCCCTGGGGGGCTGCGATCTGTGAAACTGTCGCCACTTTCGAGGCTGCTGGGGGGCCCAACGGAGTGACGCCCTACGGGGATTCAGATTAGACCTCGCCACCCCTGGGGGGCTGCGATCTGTGAAAGTGTCGCCACTTTCGAAGGCTGGGTGGGGGGCCCAGCGGAGTGACGCCCTACGGGGATACAGATTAGACCTCGCCATCCCTGGGGAGCTGCGATCTGTGAAACTGTCGCCACTTTCGAAGGCTGCTTGGGGGGCCAGCGGAGTGACGTCCTACGGGGATTCAGATTTGACCTCGCCATCCCTGGGGGGCTGCGATCTGTGAAACTGTCGCCACTTTCGAGGGCTGCTGTGGGGCCCACGAAACTGTCGCCACTTTCGAAACCTGCTGCGGGGTCCAGCATAGTGACGTCCTACGCGGACGCAGATTGGACCCGTCATTCTACTTCGATTATCCCGCATCTGCGATCGACTGTATGTGTGCGAGGAACTAGACATGGAGTGGTCTGGCACTGACTGACGTCAAATCGTTGTGTGCCAGTGTCTCCTGGGGTGTTGCCTGATGTGATGCAGCTCGTCGGCGCTGCGACTCGAGCTGGCGGTCGTCCTTCGGACCCGCAGAAACATCTGCTGAGCTCGATGAGCTAGGGGAACTACAGGAAAGAAGTGCAGGAAACGGAGGCCGGTCATGCACTCGCCGATACCTCGTTGCTCTGTCATCGTCTTTGCTGTTGCATGATCCTTATCTGGCCTGCCGGCGCCGCGGCTCGAGCTGGCGGTCGCCCTTCGGGCCCGCGGGAACATCTTCTGAGACAAGTGGACGCCGCCGCCTTACTTGCAGGCAGCGCATTGCATTCGCGGACAGCAGCATGGCAGACCGCAGTGAGATCCTCAGTCGCGTGGTGTTGCCAAGCCTGGTGGAGACGCGCGTGATCGACCTGAAGTCCCAATCGCGCGTGCACTGTACCTGCGTGGCGTTCAGGCACGCGCGTGATGCTGCTCGCTCCGCGTTCAACCAGTACGTCGCCAGTGCAACTTTGGACGATGGACAACCGATTGATGATGCGCGACCCCGGCCTTGAGTTTCTTTCCCGCGGGCCGCCCGCAGACCTGGCGGCGCGCCTGCGAGCGTTCAGCTCCCGCGCTGAAATGTGCGGGAAGGAGGCGGAGAAGCTAGCGGGCGAGCTACGCCTCGCTCGTTCCTTGCACTCTAAACAAGTTTTATCATGTGGAACTCTGCGACGACATGGCGCAGGCAGCGCTGCGGGTTTAGCTCGCGCTTGAAAAACGCGGCAGTCTTCTGTCTCCTCCCGCCACTTTCATCGTCGTCCTATTCCCCGCCTCACCTTCTCCATGCATGCTGCTGCTTCCGCGATGGCCTTTCGCCCCCCCCCGCCCTCCATTCCATCCCTCTCCTACCCCTCGTTCCCGTACCCGTTCTTCTTCGATCCTGGGGCCTCAATCCTCGTTCTTTCGATCGTCGTCTTGTGAATCGTGCAACGCATGCGCATCCCATGTAGCTTGCACAGCAAATCGCCGCGTCTACACTGTCGTTGTTCCTGCGAATGTTGGCATAGTCCTCTTGCCATGTGATGCACGTGGGTTGGGTACGTCGCAGGGTAATATTATTTTTCCCAAAAAGGCCTGTAGGAGGACATGCCCGACCTCGTCGAATAGAAAGCCCAGACCCCCGACGTCAGGTTTTTTTCATTACGTCAACTCCTGGAGGTCTCGACCACTTTCCCGGGACCGGTTCTTCATCCTCAATCGTTTCTTGACGGCCCCGTGGCCCGGCGAGGGCCTCCATAGGCCGAAAACAGCAACAAAAACTCCCGTCATGATTTTTTCATTGTCCGAGGGGGTCGGGGTTTGCGTCCAGGTTGAACGGTTTGGCAGTGGCAGGGTACAGGGCGAACGTCGTCATCATACGACAGCTCCGCGTGCGCTCGCTCACTGTTGCCGCCCCGCCCTCCGCGATCGATTTGCAGGTGACGAGGGGCTACAGTGGGGGCCCATGCCAAGGAACACCCTGCTTGCCTCCAGGGTGCCCTGGGTTTCTTGGGTTTCGATGGCCCTGCCGTGGAGATCGTGGCGTTCCCACACCAAATATCAATGGACGTCCTGGGGTCTCAGGGTAGGGTTTCTCGCGGAAGGTTTCTTGTGGATTGGCCTCCCCTGCACCGCTACACCTTTCCTTCGTTTCTCCCCTTTCCGGCCTTCTGGGAGGCCCTCGTCGCCACCGCTGGATTCGCCTCGCACTTCTGGTCAGAGCGCACGCCGGGTGGTTTCGCCACAGGCGCTCCAGGAAGGCCTCGTCGTCAAGGCATCGAGAAGTTGATATCTCATCCTCGGCGGAAGGCGTCGCAAGCAAAGCGATGTCGCCTCCGCTGGCGGAAGGCCTGCGGGAGCTGGCGGTGGTTTCGCCATGATTTGTTCATTGCCCGAGGGTGTCTGGGCAGCCACCGCGCCGAGGCCCGCGAGGCGGGCGTGGGCGGCCGCCGTGGGCTCGGCCCGCCGAGCTCGCCGCTCGGCGGCGCGCTGCGGCGGGCGAAGCGGCGGCACGCGCTCGCCCGCGCAGCGGGGTGCCGCCGCCTCGCGGGGACAGGGTCCTCTTGCATTCCTCTTCCCTCCTACCTCGTCGTCGTTTCCTCCTCCTCCTCCTCCTCCTCCTCCTCCTCCTCCTCCCTCCTTGTCCTCCTCTTCTCCTCCTCTTCCTCCTCCTCCGCCTCCTCCTCATCAGCATCACCATCCTACATTTCTCTTCCTCCTCCTCCGCCTCCCTCCTCTTCCTCCTCCTCCTCCTCCTCCTCCTCCTCCTCCTCCTCCTCCTCCTCCTCCTCCTCCTCCTCCTCCTCCTCCTCCCTCCTCCCCTCCTCCCTCCTCCCTCCTCCCTCCTCCCTCCTCCCTCCTCCTCCTCCTTCTCCTCCT